AGATAATTTGGACAAAAATGAATTTGACGGTAAACCGGTGCGCACGTGTGGCTTTTCACAAAGGTTATGAGTACTTTAGTGTTCAGTTTTACGGAGAGTGCTTCGGTGGAAAGGATGCTGGGAAAACTTACTCCAAATATGGAAAAAGTGGTTATTGTTGGTTCTTCAATAGCCAAAACGGACATGCAGTTGGAAGAGATTTGACCAATTTTGTATATCACATTCAACAGGTCGGTATTTAAAATAAACCCACAACTGATTTGGACTAACTCCTCAAAAATATAAACTCCTCCCGAATAGGGATTGGAAGGGGGTCCTAATTCCATTTCGCGCATGAGTATCACGTGTACCTTTAACAATTTTATAAGCGTTCAGAACTTAAAAAGGAAAACTTCAAGTCTCCCTTACCTTGCCTTTTTCTAAGATTCACGGTCACGTATCAATTTTGGACTTAATCATGCGTCACGTACAAACGTTTTGCCACCATCTAAAAATCACTGAAATATAAACTTCTTAGTGAAAATCTTGAGCTCGCAAGAGGAGTCCGCTGTAGTGGTTATCCTCCCGGTAAGATTTGTTAACATCGTAACAGTCAGTGCCATTCCCCTGAAATTAACAGTCCTTAAATTTTATATTATAATAGTATTAAATTGTGTGTAATTGAAAACAAAACCTTTCCTTACAGAAATATGTCTATAGGTGTGATCTGCACATTGTGAAGACTTCGAGGATCTTTTTTTCATTCGAAGAGCATTTTACCACTTGAATCGCAACTAATGCCCGAGAGAGCCCCTAAATTTGCGAAGCAAGCAAGGACTTTGGGTTTATTATAGACAGAACGGTGGAATAGCAGAACGGTGGAATGGTGGAATATCCTTAACACGGAGTGACGGAATACCCTAAAACGCGGAATGCCTTGTTGTATGAAACAACTAAAATGCTTATTTTTTTAGAGAGATTTGTAGCCTGTGGGATAATTTTCCTTTCTGTTTTCTTCCTTTTTTACCAGGATGATGAAAGTGCAGCGAAGGTGAAATAACATAGAAGGACATTGTTGAACAATAAGGACAATAAAGAAATACAGCCAATCAATAAATATGGTATTGAATGATAAAAAATCTTTGAAGAGTTCTTTTGTCATTCCATGTTGTGATATTTTCATGACTCAAACCCTTTCCAATAAGAAATCACTTTTTGTTCCAGGATTGTCTTTACCTTGCCCCGTTCTGATCCGTTCTAATTATAAAGCTGTATGTTCATTCAGTTGCTGGTATTAATGGTCGGTTATTTAATTGCTCGGTTTCTTTCTTACCTCGAAAGATATTTGTCGGGTAATAGAGCGTGTCGAAAGGTCGGTTTTACTTTGAGTGGTCATGAGTTCTTAAAGATATTTTCCTTTCTTCTGATTAGAACTGTTGTGATTACTTTGGTTTTGGTTTTACGACACTCAATCGAAAAACATAGTATGAGGTAAACACCGATAACTCTCTGCAAACGGCATACGGAACGAAAGACGATTAGGCAAAGTATTGAACACGAGTGACAAATGTAAAAGCTGAAACCTTTGTTTTTTTGTCCAATTTCCTATTTCTGGTGTGCGAACAATTAATTAAACCATGTTTATCTACCAATTAAATTTCCCATTTTTGTATTCAACCAGTTCCAACCCTCTATTTTGACGGGAGAAACAGTCTAAGAGCGAGGACTCAAGGACTGAAACCTACTTCTCAGTTATAACGCAGAGCATCCGATGTAATCACATGGAGGGTTTTTGGACAAAAAAAAACCGCTGAAATAGATGAATGAATTATATGTATATCTCTTTTTATATCATGAAAACGGCCACAGACAAGTTTATTTATTGATAAATACACGAATTTTTGTGGCTTTATATTGAACTCACCGAGGCTCCGGAAATGTTTAAAATTCAGACACGTTGGACATGTCTGTGTACTTTGTCATGGCTGTAAATTTCTGCCTTTTGCTGTTCTGTGACAATCATTCGAATAAATATATTGGACTCTGCAACTAAATGAAAACATCTCTAAATTAAAAATCAATTCACGTAGGTCAAAATTTTCCTCTCAGTCTCAGTTGTATCGAAAAAATTTAATGGTATTTGGAATATATGTATTTCTTTTCATTTAATCAAAGCTGGAACAAAGCTCTGTTTTTTGCACTGCCCTCGCTGAATAACATCAACTTTTGGATCTGCAACCACATCCGAGTCTAGAAAACTAATCGGCTACTTGAATCAACTTACTTCAAAAATTTTCATTCAAGACTGACAACCTTTTGTAATCGAAGCCAATATGCCATAAAGAGATACTTGTAGCTGGATTAAATGAACCTCTGAAGCCCTTTGGCAAAACAATGTTTTTGAGCAAATGCTGATGGTTTTCTTTTGCATGTTTTAAACCAAAACCTGCAAATAGAGGCTTTCGTCGGGTTTTTTCCTTTTAGGCAGCTTAGTTCAATATTTAATATTTAGCAACGTATTTTTCATGGGCGCCGACGTGATGTCGATGGTATCTGTTGCTAATATTAATATAATGCTATGAAACTCGCATATACCTTGGAGTATTGGCATTCAGTAGCGTCTTCCCAGAGAGAAAGTTCTATCAAGTGGACTTTACTTAAAGGTAAGGTTAGTGAGCTATTTGTTATCTTTTTCAGTAGAGTCTATTTCTGATTACCTGGTTAAACTTGGCATAGCAAAATGTTGGTCTCGCTATATTTCCAACACAGCAAAATCATTGTGGGTTCATTTCAATTCAATGTTGTGATCTCTGGCATTTGAAGTATGTAAATAGAAAGCACATAAACAGCTTGGGACCGTTATGATTACGGAATAATTAGTATAGGCGTAGAATAATAACTTTGGGTGATGCTTCAAACTGAACTCTAAGATTTTTATGGCTGAAATAAATTCAGAAATGTTTATGGATAATGAGTCAATCTCTCTCCACCGCCAGGTCAATACGCTCAAATAGAAATAAAAATTTCTAAAGATCGCAAAGCTTCTTGCTAATCATTATCAATGCCGACCATATGATGTTTTGGTTCGTGCAAATACGGTGGATAAATTTAAAATCGGCCGGAAATTTTTTAGAATCAACCGTGTTTGTTCTTTGTTAACTTTGCATAAATATAATTGGCTTTGAACTTAAGTGCTTCAACATTTCATGGAATTCTTCTGACTGAAAATTAAAACAGTCTTTTAAGTCTTCTTCATCATAAAAACTCACTAGTGAGTTGTATCATCCTGTTAGCGAATCATGCACTTTTTTTTAGAGGTAGAAGCGAAAAAAAAAATAAAAGCCAAATTATTTTCTCACTCCAACTTTTGACCAGAAGGTTCTCAAATATCAGTGAAGGATGTAAACTAATATTTTCTTAAGAGATAAATATTTGATCGTAGAGGTGAGCAAAAAAACAACAAGGGCCTGAATGTTAATTAGCTAACATAATAAAGATTCTTTTGTTTGCAAAATCACGTTAATGAATGGATATTCGTAATTTATTTAATATGGAAAGTTTTAATGAGCTGATGTTAATTTGGACAACATATAACATGGAAGACTCTCTGAATGTAGCTTTTGAATTTTGAGCAAACAAAACCAGAACAGCTGAGATTAAATTTTTTTTAGATTTTTCTTCTATCTAGATGTCTCACAGTGTAATTTTATCTCATGAAAGACGCCTTTTTCCTTCATGTAAGCGCTAATTCGAAAGGTTTTCTTGTAATCTTTTTCAGGAAAATGCACGTCCTCACGGCTTTTGTTCTAATCACGTTTCATGTCGCCTGCTATGCTGGTCCATTGCCGGCGGAACTCAGAGTGAGACGTCAAGGTAAGTTTTTTAAGAGACGTTAGCTGTGTGAGCTTTATCGGTAGACCCTTTTTATAGATACCGAAAAAATCCTTATGTTTCCTCAAAGCTCACTCCAGTCCCAGCCCTCTCCCTGAGTACAGGTCCAGCTATTCGTAAGCGACAATGATTGTCGCTTACGAATAGCATACCGAGTGTAAGCCATGTATTTCGAAGAACCCCACCCAAAATGATAATTCTTTTACCATTGCCACTTCAATAAAAGTTCCAGTAAGTAAACACTTACAGAACATTTAATTTGGAAAAAGCAGAGAAAAAGCAAAACAAAATTCGAAAACACCCCTCCCTTAAGGTTTACCTTGGATCACTCGTTACCACGTCCCTTCTGATATTTGCCTAATAAAAACAAATATAATGCAGTAAATAAAAAAAAGGGCGTGCGGGTGCCTAGACATACCCCTCATGTAATGTCACTTAACCGTGTTTTCCGATATAAAGAGTTAAATGATTTTTTTTAATACAACTTTTTTCTTGTTTACAGTGGAGCTTGCGGTCCCTACACTACCAAGTAAGTTTTAGGATTGCATTTATTAATATAAATGCACACAAGAAACAAATAATTTAAAAAAGCACAACGCTTTGATATTGCCATGATACCATTGTCGAGTGGAAATGAATAAAAACAGCTAAGCTGATATGATGCGAGTAGATTTTCCGGGTCGTGCAATAAGTTTAAAGTGAAAGAAGAGAAGTGGTATCTGGTATATATTAATCATTGCTGATTAGCTTCTGTGATTGTTAAAAGTTTGGGAGTCAACTGAAATACTCTTGCTGTCTTTTCCACTTAACAATGATACCATAAAGACATCGAACTGTTGTGCGTTTTAATGTGCTCCGTTCCAATTTCAAATGTTTAACCAAATAAGTGTATAATTCCAGGAATTGCATCAGCCAAAAAGAAGCCATTTGCTTCGGAAATGTGTAAACGTCCTTCCTGATTCATTCTTTAGTATTAAAAATTGCCATTTAATGAAATTCCAGGGTAACATTAAGGGCCTGTTATATGGAGGTGGGGGACCCCAGGTAGGTGAGGTAACCCGCCTAAGTGGGGTAACCCACCTGTCCATATAATTTCTTATTTTATCTTGATCACGTTTACATGATAGGTGGGGTGACCCGCCTAGGCGCGTTACCCGGTCTGCTAGCTGGGGTATCCCTGTCAGCCGGGGTGACACAATTTACCATGTAAACGTCTCAAGGTGGGGTAACCCGCCTAGCCGGGGTCGCGTTCATGCAAAAAGCTCAAAAGCGAAACATGTATGTTTTAAAACTTTGTACATTTCCCAGCCGTCTCATGGAAGGAATCACCAGAAACCGCAACGGACACACAAGGAGTGTAACTTGTTCACATTTCGGAATATTTAGCGTTGTAAATCGACCATATTTCGTTTCCCAAAATATTCTGTATAACGTATTAAGTCAACAGTTCCTCACGTGTATGACGCCTCTGCTCAACAAGCGCAACAACAACCTCAAGAAACCTCACCCCAGCACTTCGGGGTTGTAAGATTGTACGTAAACGCGTTTTTTTTTTCGACCACAGCTAGGCGGGTTACCTTACTAACCCGGGGTCCCAAAAAGGCCCTAAGAAGCAGTTTAAGAACAAGTAGGAATGTCCCGCTTTGGTGTGCGTCATTAATTCGTCCCAGGTATTAACATTTTCGCATTCATCGGAGGTAAAACGAGGGTGACTAAGTCTTGGTTGTTCCCATCTAGCACTGATCTGGATTGGAAACTCACTTAGAAAGTGCTATGAAAAATGGATTGCATTTACTGACCATGAATCTAATTTCTCTCTCCTCAGTATGTACACCTGATCAACTTAACGAGCTAAATAGCTGTGGATCTTATGTGGAACTCGGGTTCTGCGAGCCAGATTCCTTGTTTTTTAGCTTTGCGCTTCAGAATTGCTTTTTCTCCTGTGGATTTTGTCAACGTAAGTGGAATAGGAAGGAGTTTTATTAAACCGATACATTTTCGCTTTGAAGAGTTCTGAACCTAGTGTACCATTGTTGCCATTATTCGATTTCTCTTATGGTAAATTTTATGTTACATAGTAAGAGAGCACTTATCCAAACTCAGCTAGTAACATGAATAGAGACCCCGAGCTTGGTTAATTTAACGCAAATCCAGCTGGGGTCAAGATTTGTATATAAGTAAATTAATTTATATTCAGCAAAAGTATAAGCAGACGGGAAAGGGGAGGCTATTCGAAGGAATATTTTGAGGGACTCAAACCTCCACGATTAAGTGCAGAATATATCGCTAACTTGTCTTAAAAAATATTCAACATCGTCATCTTTTCATAAGAGCAGGTGATGATGCGTTTTAGTATTTTCTTGGACCTCTGCCTGCCTTTCCATCATCTCAAATTGATTGCAGACACACAAGTCATGAATTACTAGGAGCTATGTGGAAGACATTTT